GACCACCTTTTTTGCCGTCCCGCAAAACTCTCAATGACCCCCTAAAATCAACCGACTAGGTTCGATTTCGCAAGACTTCCAAAATCGTCGAGTCAGCACAAAGTTCATTAGTTTTTAACTTAATTGTTATGAAACTATGAAATGCATTCTCTACGATTTAAAAGTATTTCGAAATCGACCTACTATTCAGAAATAATTTAACATACAGGATGTTAAATTATTTACTGAGCCGAATGAAAATAAATTAATTCAATTTAAGGAATAATTGTGACATGCCTCCCCTCCAAGAAAACCGGACCCCGGTTTTAAAAGTGACAAATATGTTGTCATACAAATGTGTAAAAGAAAAGGGTATATACAATACATACAAAAGAAATATATATAAAAAAAAAACAAATTATTTAAAAATGAATAGGTAAATATATGAATTGTCTAGTTGAATAGAAAAAAATATTCACTAATTCCAAAAAAAAATAAATTACTACACAAGTCTTTTTATTCTTACGCTCACTCACACACTTGTTTTTTCGTAAAATCCATCTCTCAATTAATGTTTGACCGATTTGCACACTATTGGACACTGAAGGTAAGTCCGTCCCTGGCACATCTCAATTCTGTTTCGGTGTTCCCTTCTCGGTACTGACAGATGAGATGAACAGAATTCTTCTTTTTTCTTATTGGCTCGGCCTGAACCGCTTAAGTATTTTATCGTCCCGAAGAGAGTTGTCCAAAAATAATTTAATTTCCCATGAATAATCCTTGGAAATCAAATAAATGTGACATCCCAGGTCCTCTCGGTATGCTCCATTTGATTGTGTTTCTATTCAGTTGGGATGGAAGAAGTTTTAGGATGGCTGCACAGACACTAAATACCGGTGATCTGTGACTAGAATTGTGGGTAGAAGAAGAATTAGATAAAATAAATTATAAATATGCATGCAAATTTGCCATGCTTTTTTGGAAAGCTTTTGGGTGTAAAAACTAAAAATAGTTTCAATTTAAAAGGAAGAGTTAAATTCGGGATGATTCTCAAGAAAAAGAAATTCCTTGGAGAAGGTTTCAGTGCTGTAACTGCTTTTCCATTGTGAATCTGGTTGTTGATTTAAAAAAAAAAAAAAAAAAAAAAAAAAAAAAAAAAAAAAAAAAAAAAAAAAAAAAGTTAGGGTTAAGAAAAATATAGTTGTCGAGGAACAAATAAAAGGTCAACTTTGTTTATGAGTAACTTGAATAAAGGACATGTTAATTAATTCAATTTAAGGAATAATTGTGACATTACGCAGAATAATAATGTATTATTGTTAATCACGTGTTAAATTAAAAGCTGAAAGTAGCTTTAATTTTCCAATTATTATTGACAGCTATTGGTCTCAAGTAATATGATAATTGATAATTAATTATATTAATCAACTAAAAGGTAGGAAAGTATTACATTGTGAGTATAATTCCGGTCAAGGTTAATGGTTATCAGCAGCTTAAAAATAAGTAAGTACTGCTTTACACTGGAAAAAAAATTATTCAGGTCCGCATTATAGATATTTAATTTTCAGTACAAAATGAAAAAAGCCTAGTAATAATTTGTATTTTTCAAATGAAAATTCTTAATCTTTATATCTATAATCTGTAATTCTCAGAAAAAGTAGGTAGGTATTTATTTATACCACTTAAAAAAACCTTTAAACACTTTTTTCTAAATAGGCATACTATTATGACACTTTCTTTTGAGGTGAATATTTTATAAAATACGTTCACTGTATTAAAATGTCCACCTTAATTACCAGACTTGATACTTATATCATTAAGTCGGCACCCTTTTTTTGAGTTTTTCTAAATTGTGAAATTGTATATTAATTCCAATCAGAAATATATTTGTATTCTACAAGGTTCAAGTCAAAAGGTTTTTGGATCGTAGGATATGTGGCGACCACAAGATCAACCATCAACAAGTCAGTTAGCAGATTGGGTAGATGTTCTACCAGAACCTATTTCGCAAAATATAGATCACACAGTTAAACTTAAAAGGCAATATTTATCAGCAGACGCTAAAAATGTTATTTTAACTGTTTTTAACCGGCTTTGTAGTCAAGGAATGCCCCAAAAAAAATATATTCAGAAAACAGAGTTTTTAACAAATACTCCTTAGGCTACAGTATACAAAATCATAAAACTAGGTCTGACAAGGAGACGAAAAAGAAATTCAGGCAATTCCATACGAATCAATTCACATCAGTTAGCGTCACTATGTGAAACAATCTACAGAATGTACATACTAAACATCGTGCCAAATCTTGGACGTATTCTAGCAGATTTAAAAAGACAGATGTCCTTGAGGTATGTTCTGTTAGAACACTTGGAAGATTTTTAAAAAGCATGGTTTTAGATATAAAACAGTAAATAAAAGTCAAACAATAAGGTGAATCAAAAAATTTTCTTTTTCATAAGCGCAAACAAAGAAAAGTTGTGTATTTGGGATCAAAAAATATCATTTAAAAAAAAAATGATAATCGGACAAAAAAAATATTTCAAATTTGACGGCGCTAGTGAGTAAACTATTCATTGTATAATTTCCATAAAGACTCAACAAAATTGTTCGACATATCAACTCGTAAGTGTATTGATTTAGAACGTTGCTCTTCTAAAAAGGAAAGGAATGGAAAGCAGAATGGTGCTTTTTTACAAGATCAAAGGTCTTATCGTAAAATTTAAATAGGAAGAGTTGACAAGATCCTAAACAAACAGATACAAAATAGAGAAGAAAGAAATCTTGGCCATAATAAGAGTGCCAAAGAGAAAGAGCTAGTTCCAGTTACAAACGATATTCAAAATACAACTAAAGAGAAACAGCCAATACCAAGTACAAGCGGTATTCAAAATTCAAATAAATTGTCTCAAATAGAGTTCTTCGGACATGGACGAGAAATAAAAATGTCCAGTTTTGGTGAAACAAAAAAGAATTTTGACACCAACAGTTCAGCAAATGAGATGCAGAACTCAAACAGAGAAAATTGCGGACTTGGCCGGCACATCTAATAGGACATTAACTAAAATTGGTAATGCCGGTTTGGAAGATTTTAACATTATTTCCAAAGAGGATTAGTCAAACGTAATTGATAAGAGCAAAATACGCCAATAATTAAGCAAAAACAAAAAAAAATTCAACGGCAACAAGAAAACAAAGACATAAAAGGACTATACTTCGACGGGAAAAAGGACCAAACAGTTTCTATTAAAAACAGTAAAAAGATAATTAAAAAAGAAAAACACAATACAATAATTATTGTAGCAGAGCCCTTTATAGATACATGGGAGAAATATATGTTGCCAGGTTCTTTTATAATTATTATAGTAATTTATGATCTTCTTAATACGCGAAAAAAAAACCGAGTTTAAAATTTTAATAAATACTTATTTTAGTTAAAACATTTGTACCTAATATTACTATTTATGTTAAGATATTAAATTAGCCCACCACGAGGAGGTGATCGCACCTCGAGTACCATCGACCCTCCCTGTCTTTACTTTCTCAATATTTGTTTCCGGGTTCTTCAATCAATTCAATATGCTTCTCCGTTACCACTATCTGACGTCCTTCTTGTTAAGACATGGTCTGGTCCTTGGGCCCATCAAAATAAATGCCCTCAATACTCTATAATCCGGATAACTGCTCCCTCTCTCTCTTATTTGGTTTCTGTTCTTCTCAACTTCTCTTCGTATTTTGTTTTTATCTATAACGCTTCCTTACTCATCAGCTGATAATAAGCTCATATCTTCTATAACGCAATTTTTGCTTCATTTCTGCTTGACATACCAGTCAAATCAGCAGCTTTAGTTGTATTCTCTAGTGAAATTCTCATTTGACTAGCACGCTTTTGTTTTTGTTCGGTTTTTTGTCTCTTTTCCAGAAGGTTTCCATTCAAAATCAGTATCATTATCATTTGTATCAATTACATCGCTATCGGTATCCGTATCTGTCAAACACATTATGGTAGGTTCAGGTCTACTGGAAAAGTTTTTACTGGATTTACTAAACTCAAATACACTCTCAGGGTCATAGAAGTGCAAAGGTAACATCGTAATATCATTGGAGTAGAATGTCTGTATTTTTTATTATTTTTTTTTTATTTACGGGGAGACAATTAAATTGTTTTTATTAGCTACCCTAGATAAAATTAAATATAAATAAAAAAACATTTCACCCCCCCTCCCACCGACGTACAGCTAGATTTTATTTTAAAATTGTAACACCACTTTTTTTACCATGCCTTAAAGAAATTCGGCCCATCCTATTAAGGGTCCAACTTAAAAAACAAGTAAAAGTATATAATACTTCCAACAGCCTAGGTAAACTTATAATGAAAGAATTTTAAAATATTACCTCTAAGAACTGGAAAAATGCTATAAACCATGTAATAAAGGTTGAAAATGTATATATGCGACACGCACCAATTTTAAAAAGACTTGTTATTAATGTAAGCGACGGTGAATCTGATAAGGAAGGTGATAGGGTGATGGTAGTGATTCAGATTAGTTTTACAAACATAATCATTCTATTTATTTTTAAATTCATAAATAAAAATTTAAATGAGCAAATCCTTCTTTTGATTCTAAATTATATTTGCGTGTTAAGTACAATTTTTTACACGTATCAGAATCAGCAGGCAAAAACAAATAATGATTTTACCTGAAAAAAAAAAAAAAAAAAATTTACACTATATCTTGACCGGTATAATACTATAATCTAATAAATAAAAAAGATTTAATTAAAATTTTTTAATTACACTACCCACTGTAACAAAAAAATATAGTTAGAGAAGAGCATAAAAATTAAAAAAGCAAGCAAAATGCTGGAAGACGGCTCCTCCCCATAAAATTATAATTCGCTGCCGTAGCAAGTTCTCTTAACACCACGAATTCGAGACAACAAAGTTTCTACGCCGGAAACCGTAACGAGCCATTTTTAAAACGCGGTCTATTTTAGTACACTAATTTTAAATTTTGTTTAGAGAGACAAGAGCTACAGTGGTGAAGAGTTGCCGTACGTTTTTGGGGTTCCTCTGGGCGGCCCGAAGTTCCATTTTGTCGACTCCTACACGGAACAAGAACGTCTGTTTTCCGAAATAGTTATGATGTATTTCTCCAACTTTGCGGAAACTGGGTAAGTGAAGATATGCCGTTATTAAATTAGAATTAGCTTTGGTGAATGGAATTGGTGTTAGCGGCTGTTCTCTTAATAAGTGGCATTATAATTATAAGTGTTATTAAGTTGGTAGTTCTAAAAGTGCGGGTGTAGCGTAACTCAACCGTCAACACTACTTAAGGGGTTGTTAATATAATTGGTACATCGCTTTGTTACTGATACTACTAATTTTCCTTGAGATTTTCTAACTTTGGAAAATACTCCAGTTAGTCATGGCAAGTGGAATGTTGTATATTTTAATGTTGACGGTTGAATGTCAATACGACTATTTTTCACTATTATCCAAGAATGTTAGATTTTATTGCCGAATCTTCTACTTCAGCAGACCACCTGTTCAAAACCACTTGCATCATCATCGCTACCAAACTAGTAAAGTAGTTTTACACGACTATTATATTTTATTTACTTTTAATATACTGCATTTTCTGAAATACAAATTTGTTGTACTAAACTGTTATGTAAAGTATTATCTATAACACAGGGGAACAGCTGTTTTGGTGTCGAGGTTTTTTGAGTTGATTCTATATCAATTTGATGTCCTGAATTCAAATAACGTATTCATTTTTACCTAGGAGCTCAAATTTTAGAGATATATAATTTTAGAAAAATATAAGTTTCATTATTTTAACTCAAATCCGTAAGTGTAGTAAACAAAAGTAGATACGAAATTTTTAGTTTAGTTATACATCTATAAATTGACACATTTTAACAACTTATAACTCGAAAACGGAAAAAGATATCGAGATGCAGTTTTCACAACACCTTTTACATTTACTTCAAGTTTTTCTTGACATTGTTGTCACATGTAATTTTTTTTCTGGAAAGTGCCGAAAAAAAAAACTTTTTTGAATCAAAATTGTGAGCTTATTTTAAATAGAACACCCTATAATTTTTAACATCCTTGGAAAGAACATTTCTTCCCCTTTCCAAAAATATATTCATTGCAAGCGTTTATTCAATTTTTTTGGGAAAAATTTACTTTTTTATGAAACCATGTCGATAACTTCTAAACGTAAAGTATCACAATTTAAAAGCCTTTAACTCGATAATTTGACAATTTATTGATAAGAGGTTTTGACTAAAATTCTGGGAAATGTTTAATTTTTTTATAAAATGGTTGTAAAGTCTCAAATGTCTAAAATTTTCGTAAAAGATTACTTTTACTAATTCAGATTAAGGGCTTATGATGAATAAAATTCTTCGTATTTGTAACGTTTATTTGCAAGCCTTTATCCATAAATCATCATTTAAAAGAATGTCTTAAGCGTTTTCAATATGTACCTATATCTGTTTTTTTTTATCTATTTAATATTCCTCTTTTTGTAAATTAACTTACAAAGCTTTGGATAGAATATGAATGAGTCAATAAATGATACTACTAATTTATCAAGGGTGCTATGTAAAACAAATCGAGTTGACAGAAGTCTATATTTGCATTAATTAGTGCAAGAGGAAGCAGGTATTAAAAAATGTTTACAAAAAGTGAAAAAGCCCGGTGCGTTTTACTTTATATTGAAAGTAGATCAATTACACATACACAAAGAAGAAATTCTATTTTAAACTGGGTAAGTCAGTTTAAAGAAACGAGAACATTAGATAGAAAAAAAAAGACAAATTGAAAACGCTCAAGATATTAGGTATTTTAAATGATGTTATACAGATAAGAGAAATTTTAGCAAGAAACAGTAATAAAATATCTATTAGAATCGATTCCACCGTTGTGTTAAATGAAGATTAAAATGACATTGTTAATGTAAAAGTGTCATTTTAAAATTCGTTTAACACAACGGTGGAATCGGTCCTTAGAAAAATTGCCCAATCCATACATATTATTATGTCAAAGAGTAAGGTGCGTAAAATTTTAAAAGTAATCAAGTTTAAAGCATATAAGGTTCAGACTTTTCATAAAATTGAAAATCATGCATTTGAAAAGAGAGTTTTTATGTGTGAGACGTTATTAGATTTATTTGGACATCAACCAAATGTAAATCTAATAATGTCAGATGAAGCAACGGTTCATTTAAGTGGACGCGTAAACAAACACAATTGTAGGATTTGGGGTGACGAAAATCCTAGAGCTTTCAACGAGTTTAAAAGAGATGCTCCCAAGGTAAATGTATGGTGTAGTGTGTCCAAAACCAAAATTTATGGACCAATTTTCTTTCAAGAGGAAACAGTATATGGAAACAATTACACGGATATTCTAGAACTATTCTTTTATCATCAATTAGAACAAGAAGAAATACTAAATACTGTATATTTCCAGCAAGATGATGCTCCACCGCATTACTCTCTTGTAGCCAGGAATTCTTTGAGCTCAACCTTTGGAGATAAATGGATAGGTCGGGCTGGTCCCATCGAATGGGCTCCATATTATCTGGATTTAACTATACCAGATTTTTTTATATGGGGGTATGTTAAGGAAAGATGCTACGATCCAACACCTACAAACTTAAGTGAACTAAGGAATAATATAATTCATGTGTTTAATACAATTACTCCACAAATGCTGCAAAATGCATTTACAAATTTTTTAATGCGTCTGCATTCAACAATTAATTTATTAATGTTTTAGTACATATTTTTTGTATTCAATAAAAATTCAGACAGGTACCAACATTGGTGGGACACCACTTACGCCACAAAAATCCTTGTGGTATGAGGTGCTCCCCTCTGTCTTTATAAGTAAAATAACATTACTTGATATTATTTTGAAATTTATACCTAAGGGACAAGGCAATGAAAAACAGTATTTTATCAATGATCGTTCGATGTAAAACGTCAATTTATATTTCGATATGTGCCACCAAAATGTAATAGACACCGTTAACATTGATTTAATTACCTAAAATTAAAACCTATTAAAGCAATAAAAAAATAAAAAAATGACTTTTTTTAAAAGGCGAAGAAATAAACTATCTAATGACTATGAGATATACGAAATGTTTCATTCGCCATAAGACCTTAATCTGAATTTAATTTTTTTTTACGAAAACTTTACAAGTATAAGATTTGGCAACTATGTCAGAAAAAAATTTAAACATTTCCAAGAATTCTGGTGAAAACCTTTTATCAATACATTGCCTTACTCCCAAATTATAAGTTAATTAATTGTGATACTTTACGTTTGGAAGTTATTGACATGGTTGCATAAAAAAGTGAATGTTTCCCTAAAAAATAAAGTAAATGCTTATAATGTATACATTTTTGGAAAGGGGAAGAAATGGTCTTTCCGAGGATGTTAAAAATTATAGGGTTCTCTATTTAAAATAAGCTCACAATTTTGGTTCAAAAAAGTTCGTTTTTTTTTCGGCACTTTCCAGAAAAAAATTACATGTGGCAACAACGTCAAGAAAAACTAGAAGGTCTAGTGAAAACTGCATCTCGATATCTTTTTTAATTATCGAGTTATAAGTTGTTAAAATGTGTCAATTTATAGATGTATTATGTCGTACTTACAAACAAAAAAAAAACATTGAAGAAATCAAATAGTCATTCAACACTTCGAAAGCTTTTTTTCCGCGATGATTTTTATTACAATTAAAATAATAGTTATTTATGCAACTAGTGCAAAAAGTGAAACTAGAGGAGTACATCCTAGTTCGTCCGTTAATGAACTATTATACTCTGTTTTTAAACTAAGAGGAGCGATTTAAATTTAAGTTGGCAATTCTGTAGTCTTCTGATTGGTCAAATTACAGTCAGTTTCACACATTACTTTTTAGCGTGAACATCAGCTAATAATTGATATTGTTGACAGTTCTGACATTTTATAATTTGATATCTCATCCATTACTTAGTTTTTTACTTTATTTCGTAAATAATAGTTCTTCAGTAAGCAATTGTATTGAAAATCTACAATTATGGATCCTTCTACACTGAGTTCTATTAGGTAGCAATTCCTGAAAAGCCTTACAAGAAAGGGAAGACACCTTATTATTTTACATGCTGATTCTGAAGGTTTTGTAGAAATTGCATTATTGGTTTTTGAAGGTAAAAAGATGGGAGATTACCATAAAGAAAAGAATTCCGAAGTATTTTAGAAAAAAATAATTTTATTACTGATTTTTTAAAACTAAACATTGATGAATTTCTAACCAAAATGATTAAAATGAAACTAAATATTCAAGGAAATTTTATTTATTAGAATAGAATAAAACTATTTATAAAATTGGTATAACATTTAAAACACCATCTACTACTTTAGGGACAATCTTAATTTGGCACAATGAGTTAACATTACTTTCACAAAAAATATTTTAAAAATACTTAAAATTAATACATAGGTATGTTCACTTTAAAAAATATATGTTGACATGTAGTGTTATGAAAATGTTGTTTCCAGTTTTCAAAACAAATTCTGACCCATAGGCCTGTAAACTTTTGAATGCCTTTATTTGCCCTCTAGCGCATTAACTATGGGTTAACACTAAATAAGCCATAATATCCACATTAATCATAGAAGAGATACCAGTTACTGTGTGATCCACTTGTCATTCACTGATTAACTTTTACTTTTTATACCTATAACAAATATATCCTTAAAAATGTAAAGAGATCTTTATATTTTATACTAACCTGGCTACATCTGGATATTCCATTAACAATTTTCTTAAATATTGGTATTATACGCCGACACTCGAACGGCGGATATAACTATTGAAATGTTATAAAGAGTTTCTAGACACTTGGAAACACACTATGCATAACAATTTTGGGTCCGCTAACACTTATTTAAAAAAAAAATTTTACCTTAAAATCCTGAAAATCCTTAAAATTTGTTGTCCGGTCTCCATCATAAAACAAATGTGAAATAAACCATTTTCACTGATTTCTTGTTGTAGAAACGGCTAATATCAATATAAGACCATTCATAGAGCAATAAACCGTACCAAGTTTTTTCATAAACGATCAAATTTTCTTATTTTTCATTTTAAGTTTATTAGAAAAATAAATAA